TTTTCCGATAATAATTTCTACCAATCAATTCTCAACCCAGTCTGAAATACACACTGCTATTATCTAAGCCAGTCCAAAATGCACCGATAATACCTAAACCAGTCCAGGAAAAACGCACTATCAGTCCTAATCCGGGTTTAGGAATTTTACTCACCTAATCCAAAGTCACGACGTCGGGGAACGGCGGCCGATCACTGGTGAACAGTGAAACCAGCGGCAGAATTCCCGGCGACGGCGGCGCGGTGTACAGACGGGGAACAGTAACCCCGTACGGACGGCGTGAACAGTACGACCCCCCGTACGGATACTGTACGGACAAAGGGGGACGGGTGGCCGGCGAGGTGCCGGTGACGGCTGCGGCGGCCGTACGGTCGAGATGAACAGTGACCGTACGGGGGACGGTGAACAGTACCGTACGGTCCTATACGAACTGGGCTAAACGGCGACGTATGGACATGCTGAACGGCCGGGTGTCGACGGAACGGCGATCGGAGCTCCGGCGAAGCTCCGGCGGTACTGTTCACAGAACGGAAAAATGAGAAAAAGAGAGAAAAAGAGGGGAAAGGGAGAGAGAAATGGATGGAACCGAGGCTGAGCTGAGGCGGGGGACCAAGGGGGTCGATGGCGAGGCACGGCGGTCGACGGTGTGCTCCGGTGGCCGGCGGCAAGCTCCGGCAAGGCAAAATCAAGAGAGAAAAAAAAGAGAGGGGGAGTGAGCTACGGAGGAGAGGAAGCTATTCTGGCCAGAATGAGGGTGAGAGGAGAGAGAGAGAGAGTTTATCTTGGTCAAACATCTAGACTAGGGGTGCCAAGTGTCAAAAATCAAGCCAATGTGACCATTTTACCCCTCATCCAATGGTTCACATTAAATCTTATCCAATAATCCATGGGCACTTTGGTCCTTTGCTGCCATAATTAATATAAGTCCAAATTTAATTAATTTCCTTAAAAATTTCCCAAAATTCGGAACCAAAAATGGCCTAGGGGCAAAACCGTCATTTTTCCGATCCCGGGGCGAAATTCCAATTTTCGCACATACGCGTTCCATATATGCGTGGTCAACCTAATATGGCGTCGGAATCGCGAAATTCACTTTTTAAGCCCTCGAAAATCCACGTCAAAGTTCCGGGAATAAAATAATATTATTTTTTTCAATTTTTGTCGAAATTTCATTTTTTGGCCAAAACGACTCCTGGTATGCGTGGCCACCCAAAAATGGCACCGGCCACGAAAAATAACCTCATTTGGCCTCGAAAAGCGACGCTGGCATCCCGGGGGCAAAATCGTAATTTTTCACCTCCGGACCGAAATTCCAATTTTTACTCGTACTAACTCCACATGTGCGTGGCCAGCGTAATATGACGTCATATTCCCAAAAATGGTCTCTTAAGCCTTCGAAAATCGATACCGAAATCCGGGCCCAATTCCGTAAACAAAACCCGCTAAACTTTCAATTTCAGGGTCTCTCACTAACGGGCGGCAGTTTAGAGATTACGCGTATCGACCTAGGGCTACTCGTATCGTAATGGTCTCGATCATTGAGAGAATGAGAAATTATCACTAGCCCCAGAGGCTACGATCGTTCGGTTTAGGTTCAGGACTGATTGGCCACGTGCACTTTTCGGTCATGCAGATTCACCTGCGATCCGAGTGTACAACGTTGGCCTTGGCCAAACCAAATCCGCTACCTTTCCTAAGATCGGCCCACATCGGTTCAAAATATTCTCTCAGCATCTCTCGCGATCAGTATCCGTTCCACAATAGGGTCCCCGGTCCACGTACCGCTTTCTAGTTAGCCATGCCCCATTGGTTAGTATCCCGAGAGTGATCAGCTCTGGGTGAGACTTACTAAAATGAAATGCGAAATAATATCAGTTTCATTGATCCCGGAAATTACATCGAAATTCGGGCTGTTACATAAATCACTCGCAAATCCAGAGATGAATCACTCTGGTGAGGGCCGGCCTTGCTTGTGCCTGGTGAGGGTCGTGTAGGCTAGGCTAGCCCTTGCTTGTGGCTTTCGAGGGCGGCGTTGCCCGACCCTCTCCAGATATCGCCGATGGTCGGCTATTGCAAGGAAATTTTTTTTTAAAAAAAGTAAATGACAAAAGTGCCATTGACCAGCCGATGAGGTCAGGCTATTCTTTGAGACTGACATGACTACTTTAGACTTTTATTTGAAACAAGATCTATTTTAAGTCCTTATTTGGAATTTTTCCTTATTTTTATGATTAGTATTTCGTTTTTTAAATCACGAGTGAATGTTAACTTATTTGGTTCCGCTATTAGGCTCTTGGCTATTGGTGAACTAGGAAGCGGTAAACGTTGACCAGAATCTCAAATGTATTGGAGGTGCAGTTGACTCGAGCACTTCTCAAACTATTTCTTTTTCAAATATTCCATATTGATTAGTCCAAATGATGGGAAATGACTTACACTTTTATCTCGTTATGCTATAAGCAAAATTGTAACTTGACTGATGATAATCCTATAGGTCTTTCGACAATTTTTTGAGTGAAATCTTCTCAGCTAGAATTACTATGTAATCCCAAAAGTCTCTAAAAAATTTAGATTTCAAATCTCTTTACGTAACAACCATTAGACGTGATTGCGAAAATTACTTGAACCCTCTCAATATTTCCTTTCATTTGAAAGTTCAATCTTACGTACAATGCTCAACATTTATTATGGGGTGTGTAAAAGGGGCCAAAAAGCCCGAACAGCTATACGATAGTATTCTTCGGCGCATGACTACCCACTTGATCGCCGAAAGGCTAAAACGTGAGGGACTAATTTTACCAAAGGTTGGAACCCTATTAAGTGCAAATATTTGTCTCGCAAAGCAAGTTGGCCAACCAATCGACACAAACATGGACTACCGTCCCTATAAACATGTACAAAGACAATTTATCCGTCGTCACATGTAAGTGTGAAAAAATAAGGGGGGACTATGGTTTTAAGTCCTCATCGAATAATCTTGGTACTCGTGTGCTAATCGCGACCGAATCTCATTTCTAATTTTCATAACCAGTCATGAGATCAAGGCGCATGTACACATGTGTGGTCATTTGAAATAGAAATGCTTGTTAATCTTAATCCAAACTCCTAACATTCATGACCCCAATTACTTCAGGCCAGGAAAAACAGCGTGTGCGTGTGTGTGTGTGTTTATGGTACACGCAAGAAACCTCAGCATGCAGGAAAGCTTTACCGAAAGTAACTTCTCTTTGTTGGTCTAAGGCATATAGCTACTTTGCTTTGCGAAAAGCGCGGAACCATGAAATAGCTTGTCTTGCAAAGCCATATGGATTGTGCAAAAAATTTGAAAAAATTATCTAATCAGTCTTAAACCCGTTACACGGATGTCAATTCAGTCCAAAACTTATTAATTTTGTCAATTCAATCCTAAATTTTTGCGCAAAATTTCAACATAATTCTTTTGGTAAATTTTCGTCATAAGGATTGCATTGAAGTTTTGCGAAACACTAAATCGATAACATTTGAAAAGTTTAGGACTAAAGTGATATTCGTATAATAAATTTAAGATTGAGCGAGTAATTTTTTTCTTGTAAAGTTTTGGCGAAATCGGATCAAATGGTGTTGGGGAATACGAGGAGACTCAAGAAGACTTTTCAAGTGCCATGGTCTTCCTTTTCTCGCCCCTCTTACTTGACCCGAGGTCTCAAATAACCATTGTTTCATTTTTCAAATCCCCAGTGATTGTTGACTGGTAGGGCTCCCGCTGTACGGCTCTTGGCCTTTAGCGGACTAGAGAAAGGTAACTGTCGAAGAACAATGTTGAAATACATTGGAAGGTGGCGGGGTTGGAAGAGAACGATGGACGCTTTAGGTTCACCCACTTTCTTTTTCTCCGACCCCCCAAAAAACAACTATTTCTTTTTCAAAAATTCAACATTGATGAGCGCAAGTGATGGGAAACGAATTATATTTCTTTCTTATTTGGTCAGATTTACCTCATCAATGACGGATGTTTTCATCTGAATAGGCTATAACGCCTTGTTTAACGATCCGACGACCGGTCTACCTATTCATCTCCTGTCCCTCCCAAAATATTTTTTCTTCCAATGGGAGAGCAGGAATATCCCCTTTTGGTGTTTTACGTCCCTAAAAGTCTATGGGAGAGACATTAGAGATATGGCCTTTTAAGGACCGGCTCAGGTCCAAATCTCGTTATACTGTAGCCAATATAACCAAAATCGTAACGTGAAAGGCAGCTGTACTATAATCAAAATTGTAACGTGAAAAACAGTAATCTCTTGTAATTTTTTTTTATTGAAAATCTTACCAGCTAGGATGACTATATAACCCCACAAGTCTAGAGAAAAATCGAACTTCAAATCTCTCTATGTAACACCAATTAGACCCGGTTGCCAAAAATTATCTGGGCACTCTAAAAAATTCGCTTTCATTCAATACACTCAAAAGTTTAATTTTACATACGATGCCGAGTATTTATTTTGGAGTATTTAAAGACGGCCGAAAGGCCCAGATAACCATACACAACAGCACTCTTCAGCGGTTCGATGCACGAACACCCCCTCGATCGCCTAATTAAGGAGGCAATGATTTTGGGTTCCTCTCGAGGGATTTCAGTACTCATGTACGTCAAACACAACCCATTCTTTAATATCCAGACGCGTGTACGCACCTGTGGTCATTCAAATTAGAAGAAGCAACGCGGGTCTCTCAATCCAAGCTCCAAACATGTCGGACACCAGACATTCCAGGCGAGGAAAGACAGTGTGTACGTTAACAGTGATGAAAGCTTAGCATGCAAGAAAGCTTTAACCCAAGCAAACCATTGTTCGTAGGTTTGAGGCGTGCATCTTACCTTCTTCATTCTTCTTGGGTCGGAAAGGCATACATCTTGCTTTGATTCGAAGTAAGTGGGGAACCATGGGAAAAGCCTGCATTTCATTGCGAAGCCACATGCATTGTGAGAAAAAAGCGTAGCATGTAAAGTTCTGGTGAAATGGAATCAAATACTGTACGGAAGTCGAGGAGACCAAGACTTTTCACGAGTCATCATCAGTTTCATTTCTCTCCCCCACTTTTCACACCGCCCGCGGTCGCTCGCCGATCCTCTCTTTTAAATGCTCGTCTCGGACGGGATTGATTCACAGGTGTTAAAAAGCTGCTCGTTTCTTCGTACTTGCTCTCTCAATCACTCGTTGCTTGAAATTCTCAGACACATTCGTCCTCTTCGACGGGAAAGTAAGAGGGTGCGGGACTGGCCATGGACTCTAGAAAAGGTGCGAAGGCTGGTTCGAAAGGCAAGCCCAGGGACCTGATTGATATTATCTTCTCTTGGTCTCTTCAAGAGATCTTCAATAACAATCTCTACGGGGACAAGGTTCTCTTTTCTTAGTCTCTTTCCTTTTTTTTTCCCTGTTTTTTGGGCTATGTTTGTTGTCCTGATCATGCTTCCGTAGCACTATCATCAGTATAAGTTTAATGCATATTAGGTCGAAAATGTTCTGAATGATGTTAGTTCCTTGCTCTTTTGCAATGTTTCGTTTGTGAGCCTTGCCATGTGAAGTTGGACTGTTGTATAGTGCGGAAGGACCTTGCTCTCTGTCTCTATGAGGCGAAGTTATTAGGTGTTGGGGGGAATATTTGCTCTTTTAATATGCTAGATGATGTCCTATCTGTGATATGACAGAGGACAGAGTCGCTCGATCTATCAAGTGAAGTTGGTTGGTCATGTTTGATTTTCGATACACCGGTTTTGTAGGTGGAGACCATCCCGGGGTCATTTCAATCAGTTGAGCAATACCTTGCTTCTTATACCTTTCCTTTGCTTGAGGAAACACGAGCCAGTCTCTGTTCAAGTATGCAGGATGTATCTAAGCTGCCTTTCGCGAAAGTCGCTGGGTTTGTTAAAGGCAAGAAGAATGCTTACCATGTGGAAGTGGATTCCTGGAAAAACAGGTCCACTGACCGTGGCAAGGAACCTTACAAAACTTTGCCTGGGGATGTTTTGATGTTAACTAATGCTAAACCGGATACCATTCCCAGCTTAGAAAGGTTTGCAGGAAGATGGGCATTTGCATCGGTCGCTGAAATTGCAGGAGATGCTGACGGAAATGCTCAAACATCAACAAAGTTCAGAGTCAATGCATTTTTGGACAATGAAGTGAATGATCATCGTACCTGGGAGTCAATGTATGCAGTTTTTTTGATAAATGCAGTCACGAACAATAGGATATGGAATGTGCTACACAGATTTGGGAACTCGAAAGTTGTAAGGGAAGTTCTCTGTACGGATTTGGCGGTAAGGACTTTGTTTTTCGTACTTATTATCTCCATACGGTCTACGGTAAACATAGTATTGCAGCAACAAAACTTCATTGATTATAAAAAAAAAAACTGCCATTCTCATTCGAGGTAGCTTGTTATTTCTCCAAACATAGTATTGCCCTGAGTCTCGCATTCACATAAATTTCAATGCTGCAGTAGTATGACCAAGATTTAGAGATAGACCTTGTTTATCCATCTTAAGATCCTTTGTGCTTAATATTAGTGCAGGTTGTGCTAGGATAGAACATAATCAACAAATTTTTCACAGTTTCTAAGTTTTACTTAGGTTATTTGGGAGTGAATTTTCAAAAGAGTATGTGTTTGTTTGCAGGCTGAGAAAGATTGCAATCTCTGCATTACTCAAAGTCATGACTCTGGGCATGAGAGTCTCGATAAGAACTTGTTTGGTAGTCTGAATGAATCCCAGGCAAAAGCTGTTCTATCTTGTCTTGATACAATCAAGTGTCAGCACAGGTTGGCCATGGAAATGATACAGGGTCCTCCAGGGACAGGGAAGACCAAAACTGTCGCGGCACTGCTCTTTACTCTCTTGAAAAGGAAACACAGAACCCTTGTTTGTGCTCCAACAAATGTTGCCATCAAGGAATTGGCATCTCGTGTTTTGCAGCTGGTGAAACAATCGGTTTCCACAAACTCTCATGGGGAACTCTTGCTCTATAACGTAGGAGACATGCTATGTTTTGGGAACAAGGATCGGATGAAAGTAAATTCAGATATGGAGGAAATATTCTTGGATCATCGCGTTGATTGTGTTGTGCAGTGCTTTTCTGCACTCACTGGTTGGCAGCATTGTCTACCTTCCATGATTGATACTCTCAATGACTGTGTCCGCCAATACCACATTTTTCTGGAGAATGAACGCCAGATTATATCAAAGCCTAATGGTAATGATGTTGCAAGCAAACGTAGGAGCGGCAAAAAGGAATCCAAACCTAAATTTAAATCATTTCTGGAATTTTTCAAACACAGATTCAAGTCAAGTGCAGATTCTCTTCGAAGATGCCTCTCTATCATATGCACCCATATATCCAAAAGTTACCTTTTGGATCATAATTTCCGTTATATTAATTCCCTTCTCATCTTACTCGATTCTTTTGAAGTTTCACTATGTAGAGAGAAGTTGGATTCTAGACAGTTGGAGGAAGCATTTTCAATGGACCCATCTTCATTAAAAACTCTCACAGATCCACTATATACAGCATTATTGATGAAGAGACGTGAATGCCTCTCTGTTTTGCAGACTCTTGACACATCTCTTAGAAAGCTAAACCTTGCAAAATTTACGTGTAAGAGCAAGATAGCTGAGATCTGTTATCAAGCGGCTTCCTTGATTTTCTGCACTGCCTCCAGCTCATATAAGCTCTACTCCATGGGAATGAAGCCTGTCAGTTTATTGGTGATTGATGAGGCTGCGCAGTTGAAAGAATGTGAGTCAATGATTCCACTACAACTTCGCGGTGTCAGGCATGCAATTTTAGTTGGAGATGAATGTCAGTTGCCTGCAATGGTTGAGAGCAAGGTATGTCATCGCTGAATATTGGACTAGCAACGTGCACAATCATACATAAACATGATGATTTTGTGCTTAATTGACCTTTACGTTTGTGCATGTTTTCATTTCTACAGCTTTCTAGCAAGGCTGGCTTTGGAAGGAGTCTATTTGAAAGGTTGGTTTCTCTGGGTCGTCCGAGGCACCTTCTCAATATCCAGTACAGAATGCATCCTGCGATAAGTCGATTTCCAACATCAACCTTTTACAAAAATCAAATTCGAAATGGGCCGAATGTTACCAGCGAAAGCTACAAAAAATGTTATTTGCCGTCGCCGATGTTTGGCCCCTACTCCTTCATAAATATTTCTAATGGAAGCGAAGAAGGTGGGGATGATGGACATAGCCTTAGAAACCATGTTGAGGTAGGAGTCGTCTCGATGATTTTGAGGAATCTATACGGAGGTAAGCCATGAAAGAATTTCACCAGATTGTTTCATTTTCTGCCAAATAGTATGAATTAATGCAAATAACTACTTTGTCTTTGCACATGTTTGGTTATACATGTGGATGCACCTTTTGCTATACTGTTGTAGAGCATGGGCGGGCAGTTGTTGACTGCGGAAGCCGCAGGAGAAAAATATTTCTGCTCAATCTTACAATGAAGTCCATTTAGTTTCTTGGGATGTTGGGAGAGATTTGCATAGCTTTAAATGCTTTTTGACACTAGAGATGATGTGCGTTCTTGTCATTTAGGTTATTAACTTAGCCTTACAGGACACATAAGACAGTAATCGGAGGTGTACAGAACACTTTCACGCTAGTGTGGTCGTAACTTCTCCCTCATCTAATTATATCGTCTTGGTTTTTCTGCAGCATGCAAATCTTCAGGCGAAGATCTAAGTGTTGGCGTGATATCTCCATATAGTGCTCAGGTTGCTGCAATACAAAAGAATATTGGCAAAAGATATGAAAATATCAAAGGCTTTACAGCGAAAGTGAGGTCAGTGGATGGGTTCCAAGGGGGTGAAGAAGACATCATAATAGTATCCACCGTGAGATCAAACCCTCGTGGTTTTATTGGGTTCGTTTCTGATACTAAGAGAACCAATGTCACTATCACCAGGGCAAGGTAGTCTCTTCTATTCCTTCTTAACCGGGACAATTTGACTTTCGCCATAAGATGTCTGATACCAACAATCCGTGCTTTTTGCTGCCTCTATGTAGATACTCTCTTTGGATTTTGGGAAACGAGAGAACACTGACGAGAAGTAAATCTGTATGGGGAGCATTGGTTCATGATGCTAAGAGCCGCGGATGTTTCTTCAGCATAGATGATGTTAAAGCCGCTTTGGATGGGAAGAATAATCAGCTTGATGATCCGGTCGATCGAAGTAGTGTACTATCTAGAAATGCGCGGCGGAGGGCCAAGTGCTCTAGTGATGCTAAGAGCCGACAATGTTCCTCCAGTACTGATGAAGTGAAAGCCATTTTGGATGGGAAGAATAATCAGCCTGATGATCCGGTCGCTGGAAGTAGTGTACTATCTAGAAATGCACGGCAGAGGGCAAAGCGCTTTAGTGATGCTAAGAGCCGAGAATGTTCGTCCAGTACCGATGAAGTTAAAGCCATTTTGGATGGGAAGAATAATCAGCTTGATGATCCGGTCGATGGAAGTAGTCTACTATCTAGAAATGCGTGGGCGAGGGCCAAGTGCTTTAGTGATGCTAAGAGCCAACAATGTTCCTCCAGTACGGATGAAGTTAAAGCCATTTTGGATGGGAAGAATAATCAGCTTGATGATCCGGTCGATGGAAGTAGTCTACTATCTAGAAATGCGTGGGCGAGGGCCAAGTGCTTTAGTGATGCTAAGAGCCAACAATGTTCCTCCAGTACGGATGAAGTTAAAGCCATTTTGGATGGGAAGAATAATCAGCTTGATGATCCGGTCGATGGAAGTCGTCTACTATCTAGAAATGCGTGGGCGAGGGCCAGGTGCATTAGTGATGCTAAGAGCCAACAATGTTCCTCCAGTACTGATGGAGTTCAAGCCATTTTGGATGGGAAGAAAGAGAATATTCGGCTCGATGATCCGCTTGGTGGAAATAGTGACCTATTTAGAAATGCACGGTGGAGGGTAAAGCACTTTGCAGATGGTTTCCTTTTCTTTGAAAATGGACATTCGGCTTTTGCAGTATCAATGACATTACGTTTTCTTGTCAACTATTTTGTCTATGCAGGTTTTCTTCGGGGACAACTTCGTGAAGTCTTTCAGAAAGCTGACGTCACATAGGACCAAGATGTCAATCATGAACCTCATATCAAAACTTGCCAGTGGCTGGAGACCTAAGAAGAGCGATGTGGGTTTACTCCCTAAAAGCTCTTCTCCTATGGTGAAGCAATTCGAGGTTGAAGGTCTCTACGTGCTGTGCACTGTCGATATACTTAAGGAACTTAGATACATTCAAATCTTGAAGATTTGGGATGTATTGCCCTTAAGGGATGCGATGATAGTGGTGGAACATCTCAACAGTGAGTTCAAAGAATATGCGGACGATTTCATTAGTCGCTGCAACGAGAAATGTCTTGAGGGGTAAGTCTCATCTTTTTTTACTAACTTTTCATCGAAGGCTTATCAATAGTCTGTAAGATTCACTTCCCTGGATAAATGACCGCAAGAGCTGACTTGAATTGATGTTTTTCGAACTACTATCTTTTATGAGCACATATCTTCTGTTGTATAGGGATCAGGAAGTTCCAAAGACATGGGATTGTCCTCATGGCATTGCTTGTTTCCGTAGTCTGGATCATGTTCAAGCTGGAAGCAGTTTCGGCGCCAATACTTCAGATCTGGGAGGGAGAGAGAGCCTGCTTTCAATGAGATTCCACCCCTCATCATCAGGTGTAGTCAGTAACTTGTTATCGGAGGACCACGATAACGAATTGAATCTCCCATCTGAAGTAACCGAGCTAGGTCAAGAGAAGAATTCCCTGCGCTTGTTATCGGAGGACCACGATAGCAAATTGAATCATGCATCTGAAGTAACCGAGCCAGATCAAGAGAAGAATTCCGTGAAATCTCTCTTCGGTGGGCTTCTGAGTTCCCTCTTCAGAGGGTTTCGTATTTGAGTCACACATGCTGTTCCTTCTTCACAGGGAGCTTTTGACAGAATCAGAGGGGGAGGAGTTGATTGATGCTTGTATCAGGAAGGAAAATGCCATTTCTTTGCAAGGAACTTTTGGTTCGGCCGGAATTTCTGTGCCCATGCCGGGTATCTTCGAGTAGGCATGGAACTTGTCAACTATGTATCTTCTGCTGGTTTTGTGTTTGTGTACAGTTGGTTGATTAATTCGCACAGAAGTTTGGATCAGGTGTCCACAGCTACGAAGTGAAAATTCATCTCCAGACATGACTAAGATTGCCTTCATACTTGGGATGTCGCTTTCTGTCTTTGCATGCTATACTTTGTGCAGGGTCGCGCACAAGAATGTAAATGACTTTCTTTGATAATTTTTGCGTTATAATGACATAAAACGAATGGTTTTTGCTATGGGGACGAGGTGAGAGGTGACGTGGCGGATGTGAGCCTGGATCCTCACCATTACAAATTCCAGTTCAGCATTCATTAAAACGAATGGTAGATGTGAGCATTTCTTGTGATTTCTCTTTTCAGCTCATTTTCTGTTCTAGGCTTCGTAGGGACTTTAAGGGCGTGAATGAAAATATTTCTCTTCTCCGACCCTATTTCTAGCTAAAAATTGAAAAATCTATTTCTCTTTCCGAACGAGTTTCCGAGCAAAAAGTAGTGTTTAATAACAACACAAATTTTTTTTTCCCGGAATAGAAATTTATTTGATAACAACGCAAAATTTCTATTCCCACCAACCGGTGAGCGGCTGCGGTGGTAGGCGGCTGGCAAGTGGCGACAGCAACATGTGATGGCAAGGGGCGGCGGGTGGTGACAACGGCCGGCCGGCAAGCAGCTGCAGCGGTGGCAGGTGGTCGGCCGGCAGGCGACGGCAGCAGTGAACGGCCTGCCGGCGAGCAATCTTTGTGACATCCTCAAATTTCGACCCTATTTGGGATGTAATGAAATGATGATTTTAATCGATGCACTGTTAGTAATTCTCGCTCTAAATTGATCACTCATGAGAGACTAACCAATAGGGAAAGGTTATTAAGAAATTAAGTATGCACGACCTGAGAACTTAACCAGGGATTGACAATTCGACTATAAGGATTGACGAGGGACAATTTTGAGCCATTATAAACCGATCAAGGGATGGTTATAGAACGATTCGCCAATAGCATATAATCGGATCGCGGGTGATTCCGCTTGACCGTTGTATGTATTGCGAATGATCCTAAACCCATTGACTGATGATCGCGTACTTCGGAACTAGTGATTGACCCCTCGCAATTACATGACAATCGAGATCATCCATGGTTCGAGAAAACTTAAATGTGGTTTGATACTGAATCAACCACGGATCGAATTCGCGTAACTCCTAAAAGCCGCTCGTTAGTTTGAGATATACTAAAGTCGCAATTGATTGATTTTTACCACGAATTAGAATCCGAATCTGGATGTCGAATCTCCGAGGATTTCAAAACTAAATTATTGGACACTACCTAATTGATTTACTTGTTTATTGGTTTACTCGAAATTCTCGGAAAAGGAATTAGCAGGCCGAGAATTTGAGCCCACAAGGAAGTGGGCCGGACGAAGGCACATTGGGCCTCAAGCCCAATGTGATTTGGCCATTTGGGCCCGAGGCAAGCCCAAGTGGACCAATGAGGCCCATTAAGCCATTAAGCCCAATTTCAAGCCCAAGTTGAACCCATTAGCATTGTCAAGCCCATTCATAATCCGTTTGAGCCCAAATTTGATTATACGAGCCCGTACAAAATTCTAGCTCGTATACGCGTATAAATATTTTTATATCTTGTGAAATTACCAAAATGCCCTTCTTACATTTATGACAAAAAAACAAAAGAAATTGATGAAGAAGACTTTGGGGGCTTTGCCATCATAAAATTAGACTTTGGTGGCTTCTCTTTATTGACAAAAATATCTCTCTTAGCCCTCTTCTTCCCCCCATCCGTCCACTTCACTCTCTCTCTCCCTTTCTCTCAAAATTTCACCTCTCTCCCTTCTCTTTCTTCCTCACGCCATCACCATTTCCAACCACCACCAAGCTGCTTTCCAGCCCCTTTAGCTGCTGTGTTGCTGCCGTAGAACCACCAGCAGCGACGCCGTGACCTCCCGCCACCGTGACCCACTCATCCGAGCCTTTTCTGCCGTTCAACCGAGCCCCGCCAAGTCAAAACAGCCGCCCACAGCTGCTGTCCAGCCGAGACCCAGCTGCCGTTGTCGTTCTGTGTCGTTTTCAGACTGTGCAATGCGTAGCTCTTGCCACCGCCGTCGCGCTCGTGTCGTCGGATTCGCTAACGGGGGAGTTATCGCCCTAATCCCTTGCTTAGTAGGTTAAACTTGATTAGAGCGGATTAGTTTAAGTCAATTATGTTTAGTGTTAATTAATTAGGAATCAATTGTTAAGCTGTTGGAATATTATATTAATTTTCGGGATTTAAATAATATTATTTTATTAATTTTCGGAATTAAAAATATTATTATTTTATTAATATTTTTGTGGAAATTCCGAAATTAAATTGTGTTTATTTTAGGCTTAAATTGTGATGCCTAAGCTAGAATTTGCCTTATATATTGGTTTGTATGTCAAATTGGATTGTTTGGTTAAGGTGAAATATAGAATTACGGGTATTTAATTAATAAACCTTGAGGTGTCAGGTTTATTTGTTAAGTTTTATGTGAGAAATATGTTGTGGATACTTGAATATAGAAGCATGCCAAGTTTGGGAATTTATTGATATGTGCATAATCACGTGTGAATATTTCAGTACATTTGTACGTGTGGAAGTTGTGATATTTCAACGTGTTAGCACGGATCATGTTTGCATCAGCTATTGAAAATTATAATGATGGAACCTGAGTGTTGCTATGTGTGCATGATCACCTAAAGATTCCTTTCGTGCCCGGTTATACCGGAAAACCGTATACCGGATGACCGCCAACCTAAGGTTTGGCCGTGGCCCTAACGGGTGTCCCCAATTTGGTAATTGGAAGCCGTCGCTGGTAGCAGGGGAGATGTAGTCATTCACGAATCGGATTCGGAATGAACCCATTTATGGGATATGTCGTCATTGTGGTCGGGTGAGACGATGCCATGCCTGACGGAGCGGGATGATACTCGGTTATATCGAAAGACCGCCAACCTGATGCGAATATCGCGGGTTGTGCCGTGCCCCAGGTGTGACTGTAGTAATCAGAATAAGCGTGAAAGATTGTGGTGGCATTGCGCTTGATTATGGGATGAAATTGTGAGGCACGGTATGGAACTGGCCGAAGCGGTTTCACCTTATAATCGGGACATGTGTTGATGCATTGTGCATAGAAAAGTTGTTGCGTATTTTGATTACATTATATGCTTGTTGCATTATGATTGTATATGATAGTTTATAACGTGCAGGGCGTGTGTGCCAAGGTAAGGTAAGAATGTTTGCAATTATTTAATGGCACGTATGTTTATGTTGGGCGTGTGAATAGTTAGGGCAAAGCAGGGGTTGCTTTGCTATTGATATGTAATCGATAGGTTGCGGCATGTTTTAGGTGCATCCGAGATAAGTTGACCTCCTAGTTGAGTCTCAGGTCGTTAACTTACTGAGATTTTATCTCATTCGTTGTTGTTAACCATTTTTTCAGGTGCTCAGGTATGAGTACGCGTTGCGTTCCTTGTGATACGGTTATGTCGAGGGGGAAATACCTATTGAGGTTGTCCTCGTAGATAGAGGAGCTAGGTTAAACCCCTATATGTTGTTGTAATCGGGAAGGTCGGCGTTGGCGGACTGGTAATATATTTGTAACAGCCCGAATTTCGACGTAATTCCGGGATCAATAAAATTGACAATATTTCGCATTTCATTTTAGTAAGTCTCACTCAGAGCTGATCACTCTCGGGATACTAACCAATGGGGTATGGCTAACTAGGAAACGGTACGTGGACTAGGGACTCGACAGTGAACGAGACACCGATCTCGAGATACGATGAGTGAATATTTTGGGCCAACGTGGGCCGATCTTAGGAAAGGTGATGGATTTGGTTTGGCCAAGGCCAACGATGTACAATCGGATCGCAGGTGATTCTGCAAAACCGAAAGTGCACGTGGCCAACCAGTCCTGAACCTGAACCGAACGATCGTGATCTTTGGAACTAATGATAATTTCTCATTCTCTCAATGATCGGGACCGTTGTAATTCGAATAACCCTAGGTCGATACGCGTATGTCCTAAACAGCCGCCCGTTAGCCAGAGACCCTGAAATTGAAATTCGAGCGAGTTTTGATCATGAAATTGGGCCCGAATTTCGATGTCAATTTTCGAAGGCTTAAGAAACTATTTTTGGGAATCTGACGTCATATTACGCTGGCCACACACGTTTGGAGTTAGTACGAGTAAAAAGTGGAATTTCGGTCCGGGGGTGAAAAATTACGGTTTTGCCCTTGTGGGCACCGAGGCTGGATTCGGAGGCCGTTTGAGGTTATTTTTCGCGGCTAAGGTTATTTTGGGGTGGCCACGCACATTTAGAGTGGTTTTGGCCAAAAATTGGAATTTCGACAAAAATTGGAAAAGTAATATTATTTTATTCCCGAAACTTTGCAGTCAGTTTTCAAGAGCTTAAAGAATGAATTTCGCGGATCCGACGCCATATTATGTTGGCCACGCACATATGGAACACGTATGTGCGAAAATTGGAATTTCGGTCCGGGATTGAAAAAATTACGAAAATGCCCCTAAGACCATTTTATTTAATTCCGAAAATTGATCAAAATTTTGGGGTTAACCAAGGTTAATTGGGATTAAACCAGGTCTGGTCAACCATGGTTAGGGACAAAAGACCATTTCACCCCTAAATTATTGGATTAGATTGAATCCTAGCCTTTGGATCAAGGGCAAAATTGTCCAATAGCTCTAGATCTTGACACTTGGATTCCACCAAGGCAGTGTTGACTCAGTTTGACCAGACTATATATATCTCTCTCTCTCTCGTAAAGTTCATTCGGCCATTTCCCCCAACTTCTTCTTCCTTTTTCCCTGTTTCTACGTTCTGCCGTGGACATTTCTGTCCCGTTCTGGTACTGTTCACGCTGGAACATTACCAGACGGAGCTGCCCCCGCCGAGCCAGCACCACTAGCAGCCACTCCCGCCTCTGTCCAGCCCTTTCTCTCTCCCTTTCCCTCTCTTTCTCTCTCTTTATCTCTCCCGGTAAAGCACCGCCGCCGCGTCCGAGCCTCGCCGGAGCTTCGCCGGAGCTCTGATCGTCGTTCCGTTGCCACCCAGCCGTCCAGCCCGCTCATACGTCGCCATCCAGCCTGTCCGTACGATGTCCCGTACGGTACTGTTCATCGCGTCCGTACGGATCACTGTTCACGCCGGACCGTGCGGCCGCCGTGCCGTCACCGCCACTTCGCCGGCCACCGTTTTCCGCCCGTCTGTACAAGTCCTTACCGCGTGAACAGTACCGCTGTGAACAGTACCACCGTGAATAGTGAGCGTGAACAGTACGCGCGCCGGGAATTCCGCCGCCGGTTTCACTGTTCATCAGTGATCGGCTGCCGTTCCCCGTCGCCGTGGTCCAGAAATTAAGTGAGTAAAATTCCTAAACCCGGATTAGGACTATTAGTGCATTTTTCTGGACTGATTTAGGTATTATCGGTACAATTTGGACTGGCTTAGATAGTATCAGTGTGTATTTCAGACTGGGTTGATGACGGATTGGTAGAAATTATCATTTGGAAATTTAGTGGATTAATGAGAATTATCTGGGGAGATTAATTGGATTGAATAACCAATTTAGGAGCCCGTTGGAAAATTACCGGGTATGTCCGGGTTGACTGATTGTACGTCAATTGTGCTTAATTGTGGTTGATTTCGTACTGCTATGTCGTATGTGGTGTGGCTGATTTTATGGAGTGCGATTGGCCATTGTTTGGTTTACAATGATTTACTGATTTGTGAATCGCACGTTAGGCCACACGGTATTAATTGGGCCAATTAAGCACGTGTTGTGACATTGGGTGTCTGAATTATATTGGTGCTCGTGGTGCATTGCATTGCATAACATGGACACGCATTGCGTATGCCAAGAGTGAGGCATGTGATGAACTTGCGCGAGAACGCGTGTCTGCCATGAGCATGTGATCACCTAAAATACCCTGAAGCGTTATACGCTGGGTTCAGATAATAATGAGTTGTGGGATCACCTAAGGACCTTTGGGTCATGACCTTCGGGTCGATACCGTCCTCATGCACTTTGAAGCAGGACGATGCCCGGTATGTCCGGAAGACGACCATCCTCATGCACTTTGAAGCAGGCTCGGTTCGTAAGGAGATCGATGTTGCGCCTCATGCACTTTGAAGCGAGGCTAGAAACACTGGGCCGGATCGGTTCTTTGCGCCTCATGCACTTTGAAGCGGGCTAGACGCACCGGGCCGTGAATGTTGTTGACTCGAGTCGTAATAAATAATAAATTGGGCGATTGCCAGTGTGCCAGTATGGGCCAGTGGGCCGGGAAATAGACGTGACATGTCGACGACATTTGCATGCATGAACATGCATGGACTGGTATGCGAGTGTGTGAGCCTCGGTGCATGAGCATGTGATTGGCGTACGTGTGATAATATGTACCACGTATGTGCCGTGATTATTATATATTGAACTGCCTAACCTGCAGGGTCGGAGGATTATTTGATTGTTGTTGCACTATGGTTTCACATATTTATTTTCCGGTCAGGAGATTGCATGCTAGCCTAGCCTAGGTTTAGGGGTTGAACTCACTGAGATTCGTCTCACGGTTGTGTAAATCGAAACATTTCAGACCCCCAGCCGTAGGATGCCAAGGAGAGCGCCTCTTTTTGGTATACCGCAATTCATCCAGCGGTCATCTAGTGTGCACCCTTGTGGGGATGGACCTGCAGCCATGGTCGAGGAAGCTGAGGAGCCCGAAGTGATATACGCTGACCCCTTTTTACTGAGTGGCTGCTGACTGTGTGTTTTCTCGGCCGTTGTATAAATGAATTTTGTAAAAAGTTTCCTATGGTAATACTAGTATACATATTTTCAGAGGTGCTGTTTACTTAATGTACTACCTTGGTCTCATGTGTTTTATTGTCAGGGTGTATATATATATTTATATACGTGCTTCTGCATGTGTTTGATCTCTGATTGGGCGTTGGGTCGGCGATGCTTCTTGGGAGCATCACACCAAAATCGATCGTGACGGGATGTTGCGTTCCAATGGGGTACGAGGCGTGACAATATTAATCCCCGATGTACTACTGATGATGTGTATATATATGTTGTATATTTTCCTGTCTATCCGGTTGTTGTTTGGAGATATACGCTTCCGCATGTGCATGATCTAAAGTGAAAAGGGATGGGTCGACATTGCGTCTTGGGATATCGTAATTTCACGATCAAAGAAGGATGTTGGCTCGCTCGAGGGTTCGGGGCATGACAAGCTTTGTCCGAAGACACACTCAAAACTCACTAGCTTGAGGTGATCTTATACACTGATGATAGGCTATCAGTATGAACCTGGAATTCCATGTGACGAGCAACTATTTTTTGTTTCTTGTTTTCTTTAAGATTTGGCCGATGAGCCGGGACTCTCTCGTTCTCGCCCTCGTCCTCTTCCCTATCGCCTGCCGGTTCTTGCGCAGATCTAGTCACAGCGGCAACGGCGGGTCGTCGGGTTCGTGCCCATGGTCAGACACACAGAAGCCGTCCTTGTCCAACCCGACAACACCGTCCGAGGCTATGACAGCTGCGACCTTTGGATGGAATATGTAGTCGAGGAAATGGAAGTTCCAGTCACCCCTCCGCCGGGGGAGTAGGCAGCTCAAAGAAAACGCGAGGCGAAGAGGACGTCTCAGGCTATTACACACAAGCCCAAGGATGCGGTTGACAAACCGCCAGTGGCACCGAGGGTGCCTCTGCCACCTCTGCTGCCACCGCCCCGTTGCCTCCGTGATTGGCGGCAGCCAAGGAGTTCTCGAGCTTTGCTAAAGATGAAGAAGAAGAAGAAAGAGAGACAAGAAAGCAGGGAGAACTTCGGGTCACTCCTCGCCTTCCAGCCACTGCCGTCCTCTTCCCACCAGCCGCCCCCGTCGCCTCCGTCCATGTTCCACACCCTGTTCGCATCCAAAAAGGGCAAGACAAGGGAAGCTCTTTCCGCTCCGCCGCCGCCAGTTCCAGCTCCGCACAGAACCAAGGCAAAAACCAGATGCAGTTCCTCAGTCACTGCAAATTTTAATCACCATCAAGAAATCTCATACTCCGGTGACAATGACACCAAACTGCGATGAGTCTTCGGATGACAGCGTCAACAGTGGCGGCTTGTCGCCGTTGATCCCTATGCCTCCACCGCGACCACCCTTCAAGGTACTGTCATGGACGTTTGCCACGCAAAGACACCACGTGTGGATCAAGAGCCCGAACGTCTGGTTGCCAGAAATCACCAGATACTGAAGATGATGAGGACAGCGTCGTCTCGGAGACGATCGAGAGCGCTTCAAACGCATCATCGGAAGCGACGTCACCGGCGTTCTGTCCGAGCCCGGAATATGTCGACGCTCCATACATTATAATTAGACATAACACGAGGAAAATATAACATTGGAAATTATAAACATGCTGTATAATGAGAATCTTAGCATTCAAGAATTATATAGGAAATTTTGGTGTAATTCAGATATTTTAAAATTTATTTTTCGGATAAATACGGGGAAGAGAAGTTAAACCGCCAAATCCGTTAGGGTTCCTGGCCACGAACATATAAAATCAGATCGCGCCAGAAGATATCCATCGCAGTTCGCCGATGCTAATGTCCATGCAGGAATCGCAGACGCTGTTTCAGCTATGTTTGAATTCGATGATGCGATGGAAGCCGATGGCGGTGTTGGTGTTGAGGAGAACAAGGAGAGTCGCAAGGGGAAGTTGCCGGCGAGCGTGGAAGCCGATGGTTGCGGCGCCGGCTTAGCGGGCGACGGCAGGCTGCTTAAGAGGATCATGCTTTCCCTGACGAAGCCGTTGTACGTCCTCGGGCTCGGCAGGGGGAGCTTGCGGTCGGAGAACCGCCGGAGGTTGTATCGACTCCTGCGCAAGCTCGTGAGGAGGCAAAATTGGGCCGAGGCGAGTGGGGTTCTGAGCGTACTTTTGAAGGGGACGCGCAAGGATAGGTGTCCTGAGCATAATCGGCTCAAGTATACGGTGAGACAGGAATTTTATTCTCTAAACTGTTTAGGTTATTGGATTTGTGTTTTTCTTTTGCGGCGATTGTTAGGGCTACGATTTAGTCACTGTTAGTCATATGGCGAGAAGAGAAAACAGTTATTGTGCAAACGGTAGAATCGCTGCTTCTTGATTGCTTTCAGTTCGGGAATCGTGTAGAAGAAGTCACTCTTTGGCTGCATGGTAATTTGTGGAGCTGGAATTTCTCAGCAATCAGCTTCTCTAAGAACAAAAAATGTGTTAATGTTTAGGCTAAACTTAGTGGTAGCTCCAGTTTTTTTTATAGCAGTTGACCTAGGTTTTTTGGAATGGCTTCTCTTTGAAAAAATTGTGTACAGGCGTAATGTGATGCCGTGTTTTTCAGGTGCTATCGGAGGTCCTTGAGCCTATAGAAGCCAGTCGTATCACGCTCACTAGGATCCAGCACCCTTACGGAACTTGGATGACGAGGCTAGGATCAAAAAGGGATTGCCCATCAGAGGTATCTATTGAAATTCTTGTGCCTGAAGACATTATTTTGACCTTCTTTTCTTATACTTATATATAATTTGGAATGTAATGGTTTTGAGTTCCTTGAGTGTTTCTATTTCTGCTCTAGTCAGCGAACTCTTATTAATACGTGGTCGTTGACATGTGCAGGATTGGCTTGCAGTTCATTTGGAGTTCATGCTCTTTTGTCTTGCTAAAGGGAAAATTGAGAGAGCATATCAGAATGCTCAATCGTATGATTTTTTCTCTCTTCTGAATGATGTGTTACTCATCCTTGACGACTGGCTTCTCTTTAATTATGGAAATAAACCTTCCTTAAAAACTCAAATCCATTCAGGAATAATCTTTTCTTGATTTATGCGCACTTTGTGCCTTATTTAATATTTTCTGAATCATGACATGCCGTGGCAAGACAGAGGGACTATTACATGCTTTTGGATTTTCCAGACTTGTTAGTATTGTGCATTTATAAGGACTTAGTTCTAAGGTGGTACCTCTTTAATGCAGCTTTACTTAGTATAGAAAAAGCTCTGCAAACCAAGGTGTAATGAATACGCATCTTGAAGGTCACATTAGATAAAAATATTGAAATCTTTATCTTTATTGACACTACCCTTGTGTTTTGTCAGGCTCATGGAAGAAGAAGAACTTGGGTTAGATTCAACTTTAAATCTGACATTGGGTTTGAGATTTTATCAAAAGTGGTATTCGAGTATCCCAAGAGACATGCAAATGATAGAGTTGGAGCAAACTAATGCTTGTCAACAAACTGGGATGTCGGAGGAAAGATTTGACATTTCTGTCAGGAACTCAGGGGATATCCTGCAGTTTCTAGTTGCAAGGCCAGTACATCCTTACAATGCAGTTCTGACACTTCTGTTGTGAAGGATAAAAGGATATCGGTGGATACTAATCATGAAAGACCTACAAAAGTCCCTGTGAAGGTCGAGGATAATTTGGAGGAGGAGCAATCACAACATAATATCCAATCACAACGATTTTACATGAATTCTTCTGAAGACGAAGCCCCACAGTCTGCTGATGTTGGAAATGTTCATTGTGCTTCTTCTTTATCTGATCTAGGTGAGTGGCATAATTTTTCAACAATAGTTTTACCGTTTTGGTCAGCTTAAACACTTGGTTTCATGCTAGGCATCTAACTCGTGGTGTAACAGAATGCTTCACCATTGTATTTCGAGATTAAGCATCCTATTATTCAGCAAAGAATAAGTGATGTGTAATAAGACTATTTTTTGAAATTGGTGCCAAAATGAGATGGCTGATTCTATCGGGTGTTGAATATGTTGCATTTGCTTATATATTTACTTGCATTCTGTCATATCACTTTGTAAACAACTTTGTTGGCCAAGCTTACTCTACTTTGTATACCACTCACATTCCGTCATATCACTTTGTAGCACTACTTTAATACAAATCGTTGACATCTTTGCCCTCTATTGCTTTCACTTGCTACAGTATATTAGGAGTTTTTGGATTCTTCATTGATTCTTGAGAGTGTTTCTCATGGTCTTTAAATAGTTGGCCTGGATTCATGGCTGTTGCCCATAAGACTGCCACAAAACATCAAGAATTCTGAGGACTTCATCCAGCAGCATCAGGATATGCTTAAAGACTCTTACAAGGATGCAGTAAATTATTTGCGACTAGATCTTGTTTCATCACCCACAACATCAGATGCCCTACTTCCTCTGATTCAGGTGTAGCAAAAGTTTGTTTGATGTAGACTCCAGAAATATCTTGAGAAATACTTTTGAAAGAATCTTTCTTACACTTATAGCGGTCATCCTAATCCTATCCATTGGTGCATTGCCTTATGTCAATGCTCATTTTTATGTCACGGCTCCAGAGTGCTTTTAACTTTTTGATCTTAAAGCAGACAGAGTTCTGAGTGTCTGCTTTCTTTGCACATTGCCTCTGCCTTGCCTGAACAAATTGATTACGGCATTCCCTTTTTGTCTGCAGTCAGAACTTTATTGTGTGTTTTGAAATGGTTAAGACTAAGTGAGCTTAATCCTGCAGAAATGCAGAAGACAAATCACATATTGGGTTTCTCTCCTAACTGGTTTGATAGTTTTTGTATGTATGCACCATATCATTTGCTTCTCCATCATATTGCAAGAATCTCATTTGATTTCTCCAATTGTCTGCCAGTTGCTGCCGATTGGCGGACAAGTAGATGAGGCATGGAACGTGCTCGAAGTGGTCTGTCATCATGTAGATACTGCCCTTCCTTTAAGGTACTACTGTCCTATCACAAGTTTATGTTTTGGATACAAGCAAACAAAGTTGGAAGTAACATACACAAGTTTACTGAATTCGTGAGACCCAATGTTCTTGTTTGGATTTGTACCTTAGAGTTTTCTTGCTCAGTATCATCATTTCCTTGTCAATGTCTGCCTTTTTCTGTGGAAACTTACATTTGAATTTGATTAGAGTGCGAGCTGCTCTGTTGGAACATTTTACTCGTGGAAATGTTGTCGAGCTCTCATCATGTTATGAAGAAATCTTAAAGTGGGATCCAACGTGCTGTCATTCAGTGGCAAGGCTTGTCACTATGTATCAAAGTGGTATGTCAATGAAGCCTCGCTTTTAATCCCCATCCCCCCAATTTTTCAACAAATTTAACCAGATGTAGGTAAAGAAAGCTGAAAAATTTCACCATACTGCACATCCCTCATAAGATGGGCAACGTGTCAGTGCACTGAAGGTCGGCAAATGGGCTAAGATCTTCTTTGCGAACAAACTGGGGTTTGGATGGTTATTAGTTTCCGACAATGAGAACTTAAATTTTATCTAAGAATTTTGTCTTGGGACTCTTGACATTTCTCGTTAATATGCAGAAAATTGTGTATTGTGAGATTATTTCCAGACAGATGTATTGTCCAGCCGCTTTTGTTTTTCTTCTTTCAGAATCTATTATTGACATGGTTAGGGGTGGATTATTCCATTCATAGGAAGTTGCTGTGGTGGCATCCGTCCAAAGCAGATGACGCTTCTCCTCGAGAAGCTTTATAACTTTCATTATGTTAATGTCCCATCATAACATGCAGGAGATTATCATCCTGGAGCCATGCTGGAAATGATCTCTCTGCATCTGGATGCTACGCATGCTGAACACCAGATATGGAGGGAATTTGCAATGTGTTTCCTCAAGCTTGCTAGGCATGAAGAGGATTGCATGTCAGTGCATCTGGATGGTAAAGGAGGAGGATTTAGGCAAAACTATTCTGTTCGTTTTAATAGAATCCCTGACCATTTCCTGAGGGGTGACCTGCGCAAGAATTGGAGGTTCCGGTGCAGGTGGTGGTTGACGCGTCATTTCAGCAATAGCATCCTTGAAACAGAGATTGCAGCTGGTAATTTATCTGATTTATCCCTGAGATGTCTGCATGGATTTTGTCATGTCATGTCATGTATAATACCTTAAGTTGGCTTTGTCGACTGTGCAAATCAATGTCGAATGTGCCATTTAAGTGTGTCTATTCTCAACTACTTAACAAAAGGAGATTCAAAACCAGGTTTTGTAGGCATCGTGAACTTTTTACTCACTCCTGTCTTAAAAAATTAAAGTTAGCGTAGCGCATGATTAGCCGTTTATTGATGCGGGTAGTATTCTGAAGATGGGATGTTCACACGATAGACTGGCCAAGATGATGAATTGCGCGACTCCTTGAGATAGAGTGACAACTAATTAAAAATCAGGAAGTGTAATATTTGACTTCGTTTGAGTTTTAATTATTTAGCCAGTGGTTGTTTTCGCTGGTCTTCAATTGATTTGAATCTGAGTCAGATTTTATCAGTTTTCCGTGATGCATTTCATTTTGACATTTGCCTTCTCCCTGCAGGTAATTTTCAGCTCCTAACTTACAAGGCCGCATGTGCTGCCCATATGTATGGGCAAGAGTTTGAATACGTTGTAAAGGTTTACAATACTTTAGAAGAGGGAACTGATGAGGACTTGATTTTGTTCTTGCGAATGCACTTGCGAAATTCTGTCAGGCTCCAGTCAAGCTTTCAGCCGAGACCGGCATGACTTCCACCGTGTCGTGTTTCTATCTGTGATGAGTTTCGATCAGCATTTTATGTGCCCGTGGCCGAGAAAGGTGAGGATACACGGTCAGCAAATCCGATTGCTCAGACGAAGGGGTTCATGTTCACATTCCGTGTAGAATTGGTTGTTAGGGGAGTGTTTAAGTTAGACCAATCATTCCTAATCTCTTAATACCTCATAACTATTTCTTTCCGTCTTTTCCCTTCATCCAAATACGATTGTTTTTAGAGCTTTTTCTCTTCCCCTTCTAATTCCTTTTGACAAATGTAGTGTAAATATAAAACAGTATGTGGAGAGATTGGGTATTAAGAAGCGAACACCCTATCAAGAATTTTCTGCACGTAAATGCTGTGCAATGGTAAAGCTAGCCACAGTTCCAGCTTCTCTTTGGGAAGGAAGGTACGTATTTTCAATGAAAAACGAGAACATTTGCGCGTAAACGAGAACACCCATTAGTGGGATCGTAAGATCTAATACTCTTTGTCAGATCATCAAACATCGTGCATAAATCTCCAATCGCTGATCAATATTACAATAGGTGAACAAAGCAATCGCCCGATACACAGGGACGCGCCTTATGAGGTATTTTCACTTTCTTAGATTAAAGGATTCACTTTCTTAATTAGAAAAGAAAAGAAAAGAAAATATATTAACAAATTTAAGATGGGCAATTTCAAAAAGT